TGTGATTGTTTGTGATGAACACAGTAAATCTAGTTTGAATATTTTAGCCAAGTTTTGCGTTACCATTGACATAATTTACTGATAATAATAAATATAATGAAGAAAAAGATAAATTTGCTTATTCTACTTTACTGATATTTTGAAAGTTTTCAGTCAATATAACATTTTATGAAATCTATATACATTAAATTTAGTTTTTCTCACTTCTCATGATACACTTCATCGTGTGTGTATATATATGTTAAATCTATATAACATTTTAAAGATGTGAAAATTAGAACACAAAATTAACTTTATTGAAGCTCGTGCCAAAATTTTGATTTTTTTTCGTGTGTCTTGTATTCACATTTTTCACCTATATAGCTTAAAATAGAAGAACACCTTAAATCAGAAAAAGGAGAAACCATTTCTCTATTTGTGTAGTTTTCATTATAGAAGATAAGTAAGTCTATAACTTCGTACTTAAAGACTCTAAAAATAATTTATACTTATAAAGAAGTCTACATATACCCTATATAGTGGAGCTAACAAGATTTATTGCAAATTTCCTTATAACTTCGTATTTAAAGACGCTAAAATTAATTTATACTTATAAAGAAGTTTTAACAGAATTTGAATTGCATAGTATATCAGAGGAGACACGGTCATCCAATTTTCCAGTCCGTTTTAAATCGAACTCTATTTTTAAACTAAACCAAAATGAAATTTTGTTTTAGGTCGGACATAGGACATATACAATTGTTAAATAATTATTTTTTGGAGACTATGGTAAACCAATAATTATCAAATTTTTGGTATGTACTGGATAATTGAATTTGTTCGTCATTGGATTATCAGTTAAGTTGGATATCTGGTGAGTGTAGTGTAGGAGATTGATCACTCTGGGGCAAACCAAGCTAGTTCTTGTAACACGTGGTCGATTAATCGACTGGCAAATAAATCGAGTAGTATGAACATCATCAATTGACAATTCCTTTTTAACCAAAAAAAAAAAAAACATGATTCGGCAATTTGTGGTTCAGGAGGAATATCTACTAATCTACTATATTTAAGAACTTGCTACTATTACTTGGGGCCCAAAATTCGTTTATAAAATTTAGGGGCCAAAAGTATGGCATAAAAGTGCTAGTTGTCTAGTGGTTTATGCAGAAACTCAGGATTAAGATGTGAGGGGTTTGATTTTCCAATGACCATATTTTTTTTCTTTTTTTAGTTCTGAATTTTAAATGGCCCTAATTTTTTTTAGCTAGGGGCCTAGAAAATATCAGAGCCGGCTTACCCATGTCGGACATAGTTGTATATACCTAGGTTTACTTGGTTACACTTGTTGTATTTAGAAATGCTTAGTTTCTTCATACATATTTGAAATTATTATGTTTCACCAATTTGAATTCAATAATATAAGAACAACCAAGAAAGTGTCTATACATATGTAATTTTTCCCTAAGATAATTGTTGGGTTCATACGGAAAACCTTAATCACTTGGCCTCATATCATCGCTCAATATTTGCAAGTGTGAAGAGCAACAAATTCTTTGACTTGGAAAGCATCAAGTTCAATGCTTTATTTAATAAGTTTTACCATTTACATCGATTACACTTAATTGGAGTACACAATGCCAATTCCTTAGATTGTTCTCGATCAATTTCTAGTCTAACAATTCGCCAAAATAATCTCATCCAACTGTGAATCAAAGGAACGAACACCCACCTCGCAGTTTGATCGATGATGGTTCATTGACTGTGTAAGTTTAGGGACTAAAGAAATCCATTAGAATACTTTGGTAAACCAAAAAAATATGAGAAACCACCACCAAGTGATCAAGTGTTTCATTTTTCCATCCAACAGAATTTTACCATTAACAACACAAAAGCTTGGATACCAAACGTGAGGGTTTTTTTAGAGGACTTGTAGATGCCAAAAAGAAGCCCAAATCCCCACACAACATTTCAATTCTCATAACTACTACATACACTTTTTTTTGGAAAACAAACCCACACAATGATACAACAGAGGTGAGAAACCTATCAAACCTCGTGACTGGTTTGAGCAGATATGGGAGGAGGAGGAGGAAGCGGTTTACCACGCCCTGTTGCAAACCCTCTCGTCCCATCAGGCATTTTCGGGCCAGGCGGACGCTTTGAGACCTCAACAACAG